CATTATTAAATATTCTGATTAATGAACAGTGTATCTCCATTTTTTAGGTCTTTTTATTTTTTCTCACCATTTTTTTGTAGTTATCAGTGTAGACTTTTTGCACATTTTTTGTCAGTATTATCAATAAGTATTTCATATCTTTGATGCCACTGTGATATTTATTTTACTTTCTCATTGCTTATTGATAGTAGGCAGAAACAGATCTAATTTTCATGTATCGATCTTGCAACCATGTTAAATTAAATTCACTATTTAGTTCATTTTCAAAAATTTCATCGGAGTGTCTACATAGACCATTTGCCTCTTAATAAAAAACCTTACGTTTCTTTCTTAATAAAAAATCTTTTGTTCCTTGCCTTTCCCACTGGTTAGGACTTCCAGTGCAGTGTTGAAAAGATGTTATGAGAGCAGGCAGTCTTGCCTTGTTCTTCATTGTAGAGGGAAAGCAGTTGATCTTTCACCCTTAAGTTTCACCATGATGTTAGCTATGGGTTTTTCACTGATGTGCTTTAACAGGTTAAGGAAGTTTCCTTCCATTTTAAGTTTGCAGAGTTAAAAATCTGGAATGTATGTTAGAATTCATCACACACTATTGAGATGACTGTGAGAGTGTATTTTTTCTGTGTGTGTGTGTGTGTGTGTGTGTGGGTGTGTGTATGAGAGAGAGAGAGAGAGGGGGGAGAGAGAGAGAGAGAGAGAGACTGTTAATATGATAAATTATTGATGAATTTTCATATGTTAATGCAACTTTGCATTTCTGGGATAAATCTACTTGTTCCTGATGTATTATCCTTCTACATATTGTTTGGTTCAATTTGTTAAAATTTTAACAGTTATTGCATATCTGTTCATGGGGGGGTATTGACTGATAGTTTTTTCTTATGTCTTTGATATTTATACCAGAATAATGTTACCTCATAGAATGAGTTAGGAAGTGTTCCTGGATCTTCTGTCAATTCCCTGGATGCAGTTGTATAAAATTTGAGTTTTTTCTTTAATGTTTTATATTATTCACTAATGATGCCATCTGGGCCTGGAGTTTTCTTGGGAAAATATTTTTATCTACAAACTTAATTTCTTTAATAGATATAGTACTATTCAGGAGATCAATTTTTTTCTTGAAGGATCTTTGGTGGTTTATTTCTTTCAAGAGATTTTGTCCAATCTGATCTGATTATAATGTGTCTTGTTTCCTTCTTGTTCCTTGTGCTTGGGGTTTACTGAGCTTCTTGGCGCTGTGGATTGTACTTTCCCTCAAATTTTAAAAAATATTGAAAACTTCACATATATGTACAGTTGGCCCTCTGTATCAATGGGTTCCACATTCATGAATTCAACCAACTGTGGATCAAAAGCATTTAAAAGAAAATGGATGATTGTGTCTAGTAAAATGAGTCAAGTACAGGAAGACCTGTATAGACTTTTTTTCCCCTAGTCATTATTGTCTAAATACAGTACAACAACTATTTACATAGAAGTTATATTGTATTAGGCATTATAAGCAATCTAGAAATGATTTAGAGTCTGATTTAAAGATGATATGAGGATATGCAAATACTAAATCATTTTATGTAAGGGACTTGAGCATTCATAGATTTTGGTCCAGGAACGAATTCCCCATGAATACCAAGGGACGACTGTATGTTATGTCAAACTCAAAGTTGTTCCACTGCTCACAAAAATCCTGATAATATTTTTCCAAAATTTTTTCTCCTTTATTCTGAATGGTTTCTCTCACTATGACATCAGGTTCCTGAATTTTTTCCTTTGTAATTGGTAATTTATTTACCACTTTTCCAATTCAGTGTGTTTTTCATCTTGTAATTTTCTTTTCTGAAAAGTTGATTTGGTTATTTCATATCTTGTATGTCTCTACCTAACATGTTCAATCTTTCCTCTAGATTTTTGAACACATTTAATGAAGTAGTAATTACTTTTATTGTCCTTGTCTATCAATACTATCATTTGTCATGTTTGGGACAATTTTGACCGATTTTTATCCCATTATTTCCAGTTTATGTGCACATCTTATAATTTTCAATTGGATACTAGACATTGTAACTGTTTACCTTTGTATGCCTATAAATATTCTTGAGCTGTGTTTTGGGTCTAAGTTAAGTTACTGGAAATAGTCCTTTCAGATCTTATTTTTGAGCTTTGTTTGACAAGTTCAGAGGAGTGTTCAGTGTAAGAACCCTTCCTGCGGCAAAACCTTTTTGAGCACTTTACTCACAGCCCCTTAAATTATAAAACTTTTGACTCTAGCTGGTGGTCATATGAGATATTCTGAACTCTTTGTGGGCACTGAGTATTGTATCCTATCATGCTTTCAGGTGGTGCTTTTTCCCAGCCATGGATAGTTTTCATGCATGTATACAATAATTATTACCCAGCTGAAGACTAAAGGAGTCCCTTAAAGGTTTATGGAACTCTCTCTGTTCTTTAACTTCTTCTCTAGGATTCTCTCCTTTGAACTCTAGCTTCCTTGGTCTTACTGGACACCTTCTTCCCTCAACTCAGAGACCGCTAGAATCTGCTTGGGTTTTCTTTTCTTTGTATCATGACTTGGACCACCTGTCTTCAGGCAGTAAGCTTAGGAAATCATAGGGATCATCTTGTCTGTTTCCTGTTATGCTGGGGTCATTGTTATTCAGTATCTGATAACCAAGGTATCAAAATTCATTGTTTCATATATTTTGTCTAATTCTTTACTTGTTACGGACAGGAGGATAAACCCAGTTGCTGTTACTCCACCTTGGCTGGAAGCAGAACCCTTCACATTATCCCTTGAAGGATAATATGTATGGTATGTGGTCCATGGCACAAAGTCCATGATTTAATTCAAATGAACTTCCAGGTAATTGTGGATAATTAATTTTTTTTCCCTCAGTGATACTGGCTTTTGTTTCCACTGTTGGAAAGATTTTTCTTTCCCCATTGAAGTGCATTGGTACTATTTAAAATCAATTGACTTTATATATGTGGATATATTTCTTAAGCCTCTATTTGTTCCATTTTTGTCTATCTTTGTGTAATATTATACTATCTTGATTACTATAACTTTATAACTCTTGAAAACCTGTAGTATATGTCATTTAAATATTTGCTCATTTTTAAAAGATTGTTATGGCTCTAGACCTTTTTATTTCCATATAAATTGCAAAATTATTTTGCCAATTTCTAGAAAACAAATTTGCTTGGATTTTGATCATAAATATATTTAATCCATAAATATTGATAGACATAGATTTAAAAAATTGACATTTTAGCAATATAAGCTCTTCTAATCCAGTAACATGGTATATAATCTCTCTTTATGTGGATCTTCTTTAATTTCTCTCAGTAATGTTATACAGTTTTTATTGTAGATGTCTGGAAATTGTATGTCATCTGGAAATAAAGCTTTATTTCTGGGCCGGGCACGGTGGCTCACGCCTGTAATCCCAGCACTTTGGGAGGCTGAGGCGGGTGGATCACGAGGTCAAGAGATCGAGACCATCCTGGTCAACATGGTGAAACCCCGTCTCTACTAAAAATACAAAAAATTAGCTGGGCATGGTGGCGCATGCCTGTAATCCCAGCTACTCAGGAGGCTGAGGCAGGAGAATTGCCTGAACCCAGGAGGCGGAGGTTGCGGTGAGCTGAGATCGCGCCATTGCACTCCAGCCTGGGTAACAAGAGCGAAACTCCGTCTCAAAAAAAAAAAAAAAAAAAAAAGCTTTATTTCTTTCAGTGAAATCATTATGCCTTTATTTCTTTTTCTTACCTTATTGCACTTGCTAAGACCTTCAGTACAGTACTGAATAGACACAGTGACAGCAAATATCCTTGCCTCCTTCTGATCTTAAGGAAAAATCAGTTTTTTACTATTAAAAATAATGTTAGCTGGAGATATTTCACAGACATCCTTCATCAGATGAAAAAATTCCTTTCTATTCATAAGTATGGCTTATGTTTTCAAAGAATAGATTCATGTGGCAGACTTGAACCACTGCAAAATTTGACATTACATGCTTATTCACTTTTTAGACTTGTTTGCTTTACATTTTCCACTGATAACTTTTCTGTGGTTCTTAGCTGTGCTATTAAGGTCATGGATATGATGCTGAACTTTTGGCTAGACTCATGCTGAGAGTTTTGCTAAAGTATGCCAACTTGACTATTAAGATTTTACCAACGAAATTAGAAATGACTAGCTATAATCAGTTTTCAGGGTTCTAGAAAATAGAAATAGAAATTGGCTTTGTCAAATCTAAGGCCTCCTTTAAGAGCTGATAAGTTTCAGGAATCTCTTGTGAGGCATTCAGATTTTACCAGAAAAATGGAAATGACTAATCAGTTTTCAGAGTTTTAGAAGATAGTTGAAATCTACTACGTCAAACCTAAGGTCTCTTTTAAACTAAATCTCCTGATTTTTAATTCCATCTTTCCTATCCCTTTTATTTACACACAGCCATTATTAACATTTCACTTTGGTAAACTGGAAGACAAAATTAATTTCTTGAGGTCAAATTATCTAAAAAACTCTACCTTGAAAACTGCATATAAAAGCAGTGGGTGGAAGCTGACGGCAAAAAATCACTTAAGTGTCATAACTCTGCTTCGAATTAATTTCTAGTCCATTTGATTTTGTTTTGTTTTTAAAAATCATGAAGCTAATATATACTTCCGTGCGAGCTTCGAATCTGGTAATGAACTCCACAATACACTGAAAAGAGCTTGAGGAGATAGCAGATGAGGGACTGGGGCTCTGATTTTGTAAGTGAAGCCCAGTTCTCAAAGGTCTTACCAGGCCCGTATTTTATTTTTCCTCCGCGGGCCTCTAGGCCAAATGCCTGAATGAATCTGCGCTCCTGGGGCGTCCTGGAATTACACCCAGGAGAGAAGAAAGGAAGAGGCCAAGATGCCCAGGGACATTATTAACCTTCCCGCAGACCCCACAGCTGCCAAACTGCCCCTCCTCTTCTGCTCTCGGCTCGCAGCTCAAGCCCGCAGCGTCGGCGACGTCAAGGCGTCGCAGCGTCGGGCGTCGGGGTCGTGGAGTCAACGGCCCCAACTGGCGGCCGGCGGTCTGTGCTGCCGCCTGGGGGCGCAGAGGCCGGGCGTTTTCTTTCAGCACAAATGTCAGTTTGTAAGAGGGCGGGGTTGGCGTCTGCAGAGTTTGCAGGCTTCGGTGTCGAAGGTGGTCTGGCAGGCTCGGAATTTCCATCTTCCTCAGGCAGATAGTTTTTCACCTTAGAGCCAGCCTTGCCGTGGCCAAACCGCCCAGTCACCCGACTTCCCACAGCCTCAGCAGGTACACAGGGCGGGGAGCCTGACGAGCGGCTCCCTCAGCAGGACCTGAGGGTTTCCGGAGACTCCTGGCTTTGCACTTAGTTTTCCCGCTGCCTGGCTGCCTCCGTGGTGGTTGTGCTGCTTTTGATGCAGGATCTAGAATCGAGATTAAATCATCCTTTCCCAACGCCTCCCTCCCAACCCCTAACACTCTTCTCGATTTTGTTGTTAAAGGTTTTTTTTTTTTTTTTTTTTAAATTGCATTTTAGGTTTTGGGGTACATGTGAAGAACATGCAAGATAGTTGCATAGGTACACACGTGGCAGTGTGATTTGCTGCCTTCCTCCCCTTGACCTATATGTGGCATTTCTCCCCATGCTATCTCTCCCCAACTCCCCACCCCCCGCTGTCCCTCCCCTATTCCCCCCAACAGACCCCACTGTGTGATGCTCCCCTCCCTGCGTCCATGTGTTCTCATTGTTCATCACCCACCTATGACTGAGAACATTCGGTGTTTGATTTTCTGTTGTGTCAGTTTGCTGAGAATGATGGTTTCCAGGTTCGTCCATGTCCCTAAAAAGGACATGAACTCATCGTTTTTGATAGCTGCATAATATTCCATGGTGTATATGTGCCACATTTTCCCTGTCCAGTCTGTCATCAATGGGCATTTGGGTTGGTTCCAGGTCTTTGCTATTGTAAACAGTGCTGCAATGAACATTCGTGTGCATGTGTCCTTACAGTAGAACGATTTATAATCCTTTGGATATATACCCAGTAATAGGATTGCTGGGTCAAATGGAATTTCTATTTCTAGGTCCTTGAGGAATCGCCACACTGTCTTCCACAATGGTTGAACTAATTTACACTCCCACCAACAGTGTAAAAGTGTTTCTATTTCTCCACATCCTCTCCAGCATCTGTTGTCTCCGGATATTTTAATGATCGCCATTCTAACTGGTGTGAGATGGTATCGTTAAAGGTTTTAAAATGAATGTAAATTAATACTTGAAGGATGAAACCAGAAAACATTTGTGGTGGCGGAAGGGGATGGATACATTTGGGCAAAGTAATGCAGATATCCAATTCCCAGTAGTATTAGGAGGGATAAATGAATTAAATATGTAAAGACCTTAAATATTTGCTTGCTAACACAAGTATTCAGTGAGTGTGACTCTATTTTTGTATTTATGTGAACTTCATAGGAGCATTTGTTAAGTTTTTCTTTTTTTCTTTCTTTCTTTTTCCCCACCAAGTGAGTGTACCATCCTTTTCTTTTTTTTTTTTGAGACGGAGTTTTGTTCTTGTTGCCCAAGCTGGAGTGCCGTAGCACGATATTGGTTGGCTCACCACAACTCCCACCTCCTGGGTTCAAGCGATCCTTCTACCGCAGTCTCCAGAGTAGCTGGGATTACAGGCGTGCGCCACCACGCTGGGCTAATTTTGTATTTTTAGTAGAGACTGGGTTTCTCCATGTTGGTCAGGCTGATCTAGAACTCCCGACTTTAGGTTATCTGTCCGCTTTGGCCTCCCAAAGCGATGAGATTACAGGTGTCAGCCACTATGCCCAGCTGCCTTCTTTTCTTACTGGTTTCTTGAAGTAGCCCCACATCTCTGCCTTCCTTCCTGTTACCATAAACAAACTTTTCCTGTTGTCATCTGAATTGAGTTGCTCCATTTGTATTAAAAACCCTTGCTGCTCGTTTACTCAAGGATATTATCCTGGTGATTTCTTACTGGTCATCATTTTGCTTTTCCCTGGATTATGGTCATAAGTATTGCGTATTAGTTTCCTAGGGCTGTCTCACCACAGACTTGGTGTCTTGAAATGGAAATTTCTTCCTTCACAGTTCCAGAGGCTAGAAGTTGAAACTCAAGGTGATGGCAGGGTTGGCTCCTAGTGGAGGCTTCTAGGGAAATGATCTGTGCTTCTCTCCTAGCTTGTGGTGGTTGTTAGCTGTCATTGGTGTCCTTTGGTTTGCAGACTCATCAATCTAATCTCTGCTTCTATCTTCACGTGACATTCTCTCCTAGGTGTGTCTTTGGTTTTTCTTCATAGTCATTGAACAACTGCACACTTTAATCCATTACGAACTCAACTTGATTACATCTGCAAAGACCCTACTTCGAAATAAAGTCACATTCACAGATTCTAGAGCTAGGACGTGACCTTCGATTTTTTTTGGGGGAGGACACAATGCAATCCATAACAGCATATACACTTGTTATTATTTTCATCAAACTTTCCTTTTGACCCTGTTTTCTTCTTCTAGTAATACTCTATTTCTTTACTCCCTTTAGTAGCAAAATTTCTCTACATTGCTTATATTCAATTCACTGTTCCTACATCCTGTCCTTTAGACGCCAGTCAGATATTTACCTCCATCATTCTACTGACATTGTTGCCGTTCTTCAGGTTACAAGTACCTACCTCCATGTTGCCAAATCCAGTCTCAGCTCCTAGTCTTCATTTTACTTGACTCAGCATTTGACATAGTTCATCTTCTCTTTGCTTTCTAGCTGTATATACCCTTTTGGTTTTATCTATTGGCTCATTGGCCGCTCTTCTTAAGTCCTGTTTTATGGTCCTGATGGATTTGTTGGAATTTTTGATGTTTGCTCAGACCTGATGGTTTTGATGGAGTTTCTTTGACAATGTAATTTATTCAGAATTCTTTTGAGGGTTTTCAATTTTGTAAATGTAATCATGGTTTCTGCATCATTTTCTTATAACATTAATTTTTACTTAAAGCATCATCTCACAATTGGTATGAGAAACAAGTAAAGGGGCAGGGCACGGTGGCTCAAGCCTGTAATCCCAACACTTTGGGAGGCCAAGGTGGGTGGATCACTTGAGGTCAGGAGTTCAAGACTAGCCTGGCCAACATGGTGAAACCCTGTCCTTACTAAAAAATTCAAAAATTAGCCAGATGTGGTGGAGGGTGCTTGTAATTTCAGCTACTTCAGTAGGCTGAGGCAGGAGAATCGCTTGAACCTGGGAGCTGGAGGTTGCAAGTGAGCCAAGTTTGAGCCATTGCACTCTAACCTGGGTGACACGAGCAAAACTCTGTCTCAAAAAAAAAAAAAAAAAAAAGGCAACAAATCATACTGCCACGTGTGTACCTATGCAACAATCTTGCATGTTCTGCATATGTACCCCAAAACCTAAAATGCAATTAAAAAAAGAAAAGAAAAATGTAAAAGAGAATATTTTGTAGGGGCTTTGGTTCCAGTTCTATAATGTATATATTTACTATTATCATCAGTAGTTGCCAGAAGAGCATTGTGTTCTTCCTTCAAATGGATTTTTAGTGACATTGGTATCAAATTATTTTTGCTAACTCATATTTGACTATGATTTAAAAATTATGTTTGGCAGCTATGCATTCAATTAACTGTAGTGTTTCATTGAAACAAAAAAGTAGTTGTACAATTATTGGATAAAAATAAACATTTTCAGTGCTAGATATTTTTGTTGTATTTTTCACAACCTAGTTTAAAGAATGTAACAGCAAGCTGTGTGTCTTAGAATTTTTATTTTTGAGAATTTTCTGTTAGTGCTTGTCAGACATATTGAAAGGCATGTATCCCTTGCCCCATATGTATCATTTATTTTTAATTTTAATTTTTTATAAGTAGTCTCTTAAACATGTATATGATACCTTTGCAGCTGTGTGTCATCTACTTGTTAAAATCCTAATAAATGTGTACATATTGAAATACCTGCATTTTGGAAATCTGTAATTACATCAACAGTTGTTATCTGCTGTGTCCATATGGAGAGTAAACGGTATAGAAAAGAAGCAAGATTTGTAGCCCATTTGACCTATGTTGTAATTCTGAAAAATTTAACGCTTATTAGCTGTGTGACTCTTGGTTAGTCACTTAACTTGTCTGAACTCAGTTTACTCCCATGTGAAATGGAATGATGATGTACATAAGGGGCATACCTTAGATTAATAATGATGGAACTTTTACTATTATTGATATTATACTTAGGTTTAAATATTTTTTGATTAATTAGATACTGTGATAACTGCATTCTATTTCTGTCTGTTTATTACTCCTGACCTCAAGTGATCCACCCACCTTGGCCTCCCAAAGTGTTGGGATTACAGGCTTGAGCCACCGTGCCCTGCCCCCTTGTACTTGTTTCTCATACCAATTGTGAGATGATGCTTTAAGTAAAAATTAATGTTATAAGCAAAACGATGCAGAAACCATGATTACATTTACAAAATTGAAAACCCTCAAAAGAATTCTGAATAAATTACATTGCCAAAGAAACTCCATCAAAACCATCAGGTCTGAGCAAACATCAAAAATTAGATACTGTGATAACTGCATTCTATTTCTGTTTGTTTTGTTTAAGTAACTGTGACACAAAAGAGCCTGAAGTGTAATTATAGCTTCCAGAAGTTGCTCAATGTACTCTGAGCAAATTGTTAAAGTATCAGAAAAAGAGAAATATAGTATGTAAATTTAATTAGGGGATGGTGTTTTCTCTGAATCTCTTAATGTTTTTTTCCACAGGGAGGAATAATTTTTTTTCCATCTATAATTTGGAAGCCAAGTCAGTAACAAAATGAAACCAGTACAGCATCTGTTGACCACCAGTAACAAATTGGCAAATGTTCCAGAATTAACTTTTAAAAAAGGACTGCGTAATTTACCGTTGTCACCTAAACTAAGGGAAAAACATAATGCAAAATTAATTCATGATAGAATTGAACCAATGGTCTTAAGATCTCCACCAACAGGAGAATCCATTGTACGGTATGCTTTGCCCATTCCATCGAGTAAGACAAAGGACTTACTACCAGAAGAAGCAATGATCAGAAAAGTTATCAAACATCTGAAGATGGTAAGAGGCTTGTTGGTTTCTGTGTTGCAGGGTCCCCATGATAACCCCACCCTTGGTGATATGCTAGGAGGACTCAAATGACTCCACATATAGTCACACTGATGGCTAAGATTTATTACAGTAGGCACATGAGTTGAAATTAGGAGAAAACCGGATCTAAGCTTGCAAAAGTCTATTCCTCTTAGAGTCACCTGGAACATGCTTAATTTCTTTAGCAATGAATTGTGACAACATACATGAAATGTCTGCCAGGGGAAATTATTATCTGCCAGGGAAATCATTAGAAACTCAGTGCCCTGGGTCTTATTGGGGGTTGTTTACCTATTCACTCTGTGCCTAGCATGTACAAAAATTTCAGACTCTTACAAGGAAAGGAGGTTCAGTATAAACCACATCATACAAACATCTTAGGGGGAGTAAGCTGCTTCTATCAGTAAATGGGGAGAACTCTCCTGAAAACCAAGTTCTCAGATGCCAGGTTAAGGCCAATCTTGCAAGCAGACCTTTCTAAGTCCTACATTTCTACTATGTTAAACTCTGCATTTCAGAAACTTTATTTATTTATTTATCTTTGAGACAAAGTCTTGCTCTGTCACCAGGCTGGAGTGCAGTGGTGTGATCTCGGCTCACTGCAACTTCCTCCTGAGTTCAAGCAATTCTCCTGTCTCAGCCTCCTGAGTAGCTGGGACTACAGGTGTGTGCCACCACCCATCTAATTTTTGTATTTTTAGTAGAGACAGAGTTTCACCATATTGGTCAGGCTGGTCTCAAACTCTTGACCTCAGGTGATCCACCTGCCTTGGACTCTCAAAGTACTGGGTTTACAGGCGTGAGCCACCGTGCCCAATGATGTGGGCAAAAATTTCCCTTTCTCTAAGTTTCTTTTTGGACAGTGATCCAGAATTGAATTGTAAATGTACCAAATATCCAGTGAGAACAATGAGGAAGAACACAAATATAAAAATACTACATCAACTTTGCTGAAAGTTTGAGACCAGAGAATATTCTTTAAAAATTCATTGCTTTCTGATCTCCATCTTTTGATTTTCTCCAACTCTTCAGAGGAGAAAGTCAAGGCAGACTTTGAGGAAAACTACTTAATGTGTCAACCACTCATGGATAGGCCTTCTCTGTTTTAAGATACCTATCAACACAGAAATGGTACATAGAACATCTCTCCATTGCTAGGGGGTAGGGTCAAGGAATTTTGCTTTTTCCTCATGATGACATGAAATAGGGCATGGGATGGAAAATTTAAGTTTATAGCACAGGAAGAAATAAGTATTACTGATGAAAACGTCCTGGAATAGTTGATTAAATATTATTAACATTTAATATAATTAATTTTAAATTATTAAAGTATCTAATGTGCTTTGATTTTTTTTTAACAGGTTGTTTCCACTTTGGAAGAAACCTATGAACATTGTGATGAGAATGGAGAAGAACCATTTGTAAAGCATGAACATGAAGAATTATCTTTATCTGTAAGTATAGGCAACCCTAAGATAGAGACATTAACACTGAAAATGGTCAATTTTCTTTTAAAAAACATAAATTTTAAAGATTTTCTTTTGGAGTCCTTATATGTTCTCAGAATGATTTTCTCATTAATGAAAAGGATCCTCTTAGAAAATCACTCAACCCAATCAAATCCCTCTTGACTTGAATTTTGCCAAGAAGGTTACAGAAAAGGAGTTCTACATACTCATTAAGAATGACCAAAATTTTAAAGGTAGACAGAATCAAGTTTTGGTAAAGATATGGGGCCACAGGAAGTCTCATACAGAGCTGACGAAAACACAATGGTACTGCTATATTGAAAAACAGTTTGACAGCTGCTTATAAAGTTTAACATACACTTAAAAGACAACCTATTAATTCCATTTAAAGTGATTATCCAAGATTAATTAACACATGCATCCTCACAAAGACTTGTATATAAATGTTTATAGAAGTTTTGTTCATAAACCAGAATAGCTACTGAATTCAGCAGCCCAAATATTTATTAACCGGTGAATGGAAGACATATTCTTCATGGAGAACCACTCTATGAAAATCCTAACTGTATATAAGCCTGTAATATTCGTTTATCATAAGTCAGTTCTCTGATTTACAAATCACTGCTTTACTAGAAGGGATTTGATCATTATGACATTTAAGTTGTAACTATTTTTTCCTCAAAGTTTTGTATTGACCATTAGGTGAGAGCAAAAGACTGCAGTTCATGGCAAGTATACAGTCAGATGTCATAGCTAGTAGTCACTTTCTAATGTTGAGATTTTTTTTTTTTTTTTGCGGTAGTGATTATCTTTTATTGGGCCACCCAAAAATTTCAGGACTGTAAGGTTGGGATGCTGGATTTTCTAGAACTGTGTGGAGAGAGGAAAAGAGGAGACATAGCGGGGTATATGTCATTGATGGGCCACTTCTCAACGGGTATTTTCTTCCATGTTTTCTCTCCAGGAGAATTTGCTAGTATGGCATTTGAAGCATGGCTTCTTGCCTTGTGTGTTTGAAGGGCCATAGATTACACAAAATTAAAATACTTTCAAAAAGCATACTAGAAAAAGATAGACATGCATATGGATTCTGAAGTAAAAGTAACTTTATATTTTATTATTCTTTTCAAAAGGCTGGGGATGATATGAATTCATTCTTGATGTGTTCACAATTTGCAGCTCAGCTAGAAGAAGCACTTAAGGAAGAACAAAATGTATGTATTCTGTATATACTGTCAAGTATAAAATATCAAACTTGTACTGGTTGTTGAAAATTGAATCTGCTATCCAGTTAGCCAATATTAGCCTAGATTCGGTGTCTTAAAGAGTTGTAAATGGCATTGAAAAGCATTATTTATTTATTTTGTATTCTTTTTGTAATCATCATCAAGGGTTTTTACTATGCTCAAATGCAAAGATTATGCCACTGAACTACCACAAATAAGACATGAAATTTGAATTAATTATTCAATAGTTGTGTGAATTTTAATGAATCTGCCATATTTCCTCACTAAGAGCTTGTAAGTAGTTACAAGATAGTTAATAAATATTAAGGTTGTGGCAATCAGCATCAAAGAGAGAATGATTGGCCATTACATAGAATGACTACACAATCATGGTTTAATATCATAACCCTTATCAGTTAGCTGTGAATGAAAGGTAAGAATACAGTGGAATTGTTGAAATTGTCTTTTGTTCATGTAATAGAATACACTTAATTTCTTTCTTTTTTTGGCAATAGGTATTTAAATTGACGTGGAATTATACATATTTATGGGGCACATAGTGATATTTTGATACGTACAATGTCTAGTGGTCAAATCAGAGTAATTAGCACATTCATCTCCTCAAACGCTTATCATTTCTTTGTGATGGGAACATTCAAAATCCTCTCTTCTAGTTATTTGAGTATATATAATAAACTCTTGTTAGCTGTGGTTACCTTATAGTACTGTAGAACACTATAACTTATTCCTCCTATCTAGCTATAATATTTTATCCTTTAACCAACCTCTCCCTATCCTCCCTCACCCCTATCCTTTTCAACCTCTAGTAATCATGATTCTACTCTCTGCTTCTATGAGATGAGCTTGTTTTAGCTTTTGCATATGGGTGAGAACATGCAATATTTATCTTTCTGTTCCTGACTTAGTTCTCTTAATATAATATCCTATAGGCCCATACATAATGCTGTGAATGACAGGATTTAATTCTATTTTGGAATCAAGAGTGGAATCTGGCTGGGTGTGGTGGCTTATGCCTGTAATCCCAGCACTTAGGGAGGCTGAGACAGGTGAATCACAAGGTCACGAGTTCAAGACCAGCCTGACCAACATGGTGAAACCCCGTCTCTACTAAACATACTAAAAAAATTAGCTGGGCATGGTGGCGTGTGCCTGTAATCTCAGCTAACTGGGAGGCTGAGGCAGGCTTGAACCTGGGAGGTGGAGGATGCAGTAAGCTGAGATCATGCCTTTGCTCTCTAACCTGGGTGACAGGGTGAGACTCCATCTCAAAAAAAGAAAAGAGTTGAATCCAGTCTTCCGATGTGCCCCATTTTCTTTATTCATTTGTCTATTTGTAGACATTTAGGTTGATTCTATATATTGGCTATTGCAGTTTAGTACTGCAATAAACATGGAAGTACAGATGTCTCTTCAGTATATTGATTTCCATTTCTGTGGATATACACCCAGTAGTGAAATTGCTGGATTATATGGTAGTTCTATTTGTAGTTTTTTGAGGAAACTCCATGCTGTTTTTCATTATGGTTTTACTAGTTTACATTTCCACCATAAGTATATGTGAGTTCCCTTTTCTCTGAATCCTGGTCAGGATTTATTATTTTTTGTCTTTTTGATAATAGCCATTTTAACTGAGGTGAGATGACATATCATTGTGGTTTTGATTTACATTTCCCTGATGACTAGTGATGATGAGGATTTTTTTTTTCCATATACTTCTTGGCCATTTGTATATCTTTCTTTTGAGATATATTCAAGCCATTTCCCTATTTTAAAATCAGATTTTTTTTTGCCATTGGGTTGTTTGAGTTCCTTGTATATTTTGAATATTAATCACTTGTTAGATGTTTTTTTTTACAAATATCTTTTTCCATTCTGCAGATTGTCTTTTCACTCTGTTATTATTTCCTTTGCTGTGTGGAATCCTTTTAGTTTGATGTAATACTACTTGTCTGTTTTTGCTTGTGTTGCCTATGCTTTTGAGGTCTTATCCATAAAATATTTTCTCAGACCGATGTCCTGAAGTGTTTCTTCTATGTTTCCTTCCAGTAGTTTCATAGTTTTGGGTTTTATATTTATGTCTTTAAGCCATTTTTGAGTTGATTTTGCATATGGTAAGATATTGGGGTTTAGTTTCATTTTTCTGCCAATGATATCCAGTTTTACCATCACCATTTATTGAAGAGACTGTCCTTTTCCCAATGTTCTCGGTGCTTTTGTTGAAAATTTGTTGGCTATAAATAAGTGGATTTATTTTTGGGTTCTCAATTGAGTTCCATTGATCTGTGTGTCTGTTTTTGTGCCAGTACCATGCTGTTGTGGCTACTATAGCTTTGAAGAGAGAGAGAGAGAGAGAGAGAGAGAGAGAGAGAGAGAGAGAGAGAGAGAGAGAGAGAGAGAGAGAGAGAGAAAGAGAGAGAAAGAAAGAGAGAGAGAGAGTGTGTGTGTGTGTGTGTCTGTGTGCGTGTGCGCATGCATAAGTGCTTTTTTTAAGAGGCAAGGTCTCACTTCATTGGCCAGGCTGGAGTGCAGTAGTGCAATCATAGCTCACTGCAGCCTTGGACTCCTGGGCTTGAGAGATCCTCTTGCCTCAGCTTCCCAAGCTGCTGGGATTACAGGGATGAGCCACCGTGCCTGGCTAACTTTGTAGTATATTTTGAAGGCAGATAGTGTGATGTTTCCAGCTTTCTTCTTCTGCTCAGGATTGCTTTGTCTACTCAAGATTTTTTGTGGTTCCACATGAATTTTTGGGATTTGCTTTCTATAAAGAACGTCATGGTATTAATAATTAATATTATTAAAATGACCAATCATACTACTCAAAGCTATATGCAGATTCAGTGAAATCCCTGTCAAAATGATACTGGGCTTCAGCCCAGTATCAACATTAATTCTTCTAATACATGAACATAGGATGTCTTTTATTTTTTTTGTGTCTTCTTTAATTTCTTTCATCTGTATTTTATAGTTTTCATTGTAGAGAGCTTTTACCTCCTTACCTTTTTGGTTAAATTTATTTCTAGGTATCTTGTATATTGTTTTATATCTATTGTAAATGAAATTGCTCTCGATTTCTTTTTTCAACTAGTTTTTTATTGGTATATAAACATGCTACTGATTTTTATACGTTAATTGTGTATTTTTTAGCTTTTCTGAATTTATTCATTAGTTCAAAGAAGTTTTTGGGTGGATTCTTCTATGTATATGATTATGTTGTCTGCAAACAGGGACACTTTTCAGGCCCTCCACTTGGTTGCTTTTCTGGGAGAGTTCTGGGTTAGGTGAAACAATGGCAAAAGTGGGAACCTCTAGAGAGCTCAAAACAGTATGCATGTTTTTGGGAATATGTCTGCCGTGCTCTCTCCTGAACCACTTAAAATGAGGGTTGCTGGTGTTAAGACTGCTACTATGCTGGAGGAGGGGGTGAGGCAAGACCGAGTTAAAGTACCACACAATTCTTCTGTGGTGTTCAAGCCACATTTTCTTGGTGTGGCTTTACTTGGTTGCTTTAAATCTTTAACTGTTTTCAGAATTCTAATGAAATTGGAGTGTAGGCCCTTGGACTTCCCTACTACACATATTTTTGCTGTTATCAGTCTTCAAATACCCTAATAGTTTTTTTCCTTGGTGCAAATTTATAACTGACTTTGAATTATATGTATATATATCTTTTTTTTTTGTTTTTTTTTGAATGAATAAATGAATGAATGAATTTTATTAGCATATATAATAAGTAAAGAACTTTACAAGATAATTTTAGATAGTGATAAGTACCGTAAAGTCAGTAAAATGGGGTTGATGATACGTGAATTAAATAATCACTTAAATACCTAATACATTTCTTTTTTTTTTGATTGCATTTTAGGTTTTGGGGTACATGTGCAGATCATGCAAGATAGTTGCATAGGTACACACATGGCAGTGTGTTTTGCTGCCGTCTTCCCCTTTACCCACATTTAGCATTTCTCCCCAGGCTATCCCTCTCCCCTTCCCCCCACGCTGTCCCTCCCCTATTCCCCCCAGTAGACCCCAGTGTGTAGTACTCCCTTCCCTGTGTCCATGTGTTCTCTTTTTTCATCACCTGCCTATGAGCGAGAATATGCGGTATTTGTATATATTTCAATAGACCAAGAATAACCAAGTGAGTCCTGAAGAAAACATCAAATGACCTACCCTAACAGATTTTAAGATTCATTATGCAGTGATATCAATTATCATTATTTGCTTTTGGTGCAAGCCTGGATGAACTGATGAAATTGAACAAAGTCTCAGATGTAGACCTTTTTATATATGGAAAATTTTGTTGATGACAGAGTCAGCAGTATAATAAATGGCTTTGGGACAACTGGTTATTTGTAAGAAAAAAACCTGATTTGATATATGATCAAATACGATACTGATACTGATATCAGTATATGACCTGGAGCAAGAAACAATCACAAAACAAATACAAATCATAAAAGGCAAGATTGATAAATTCACCTTTATTAAATTTATAACCTCTTATTAGATAAAGAATTCATAAAGAGGGGGGCAAGATAAATTTCAAATAGGGGAAAAATTTGGATCATGTATACCTAACATATATGTGTATTTAATCACATAAAGGATTATCTAGAGTATATGGATAATGTCTACTAATCAATAAGTAAAAGATTAAACAAATCATTATAAAATAAAAAGGCATTTCACAGTGAATCGGTTTTTATTTTTCACTCATTTTTATCAACAATGATTTAGATTTAGCAGTTTCAGTAATTCATGCTGTGGGTTTCTTCAGTACTTGAGAAAGGCACTGTTCTCCTAGTTTATAGTGGTTTAAATTATTGTAGAACTGGGCTACAGTGAGTGGTTGAATTGATATGTGCTAACGTTTCCCATCAGGTCACAATGCGGAAAGGGAAGTTTTAAGAACCTTGGAATCTCTCTAGACAGTGGAATGAATGAGTTATTCCTAGGTATAATATGCCTTATTGGACATTATTTTCTAAACACTTATGTAGCTGAAACTATTTTTCTTATGACACAGACATTAATTTGCTTTGGTATATTTTCTGAAGGGTCTCAGCCCCTTTTGCTTAGATTTATGCTTTCTTATTATTTAGCTTAGTGATTCTCAGACTTTATCATGCAAAGCAATCACCTGCAGGTCTAGTTAAAACACTAATTGTTAGTCCCACATCTAGACTTTCTGATTTAGTAGGGTAGGGTAGGCCTGAGAATTTTTAATACTAATAAATATGCTTGTAGATGGTGCTGATGCTGTTGCTATCTTACCTTACTTTTTGAATCACAGATCAAGAGTTAGTGTTGTGGAAGATAAGTTTTAGACTAGTTTAATTTTTTCTCAATTTTATGTTACTCCCTGAATGTGTATAGTAACATTTTACTTTAATAATGTAATTGAAAACTTTTACTTAATTTGATAGGGTGGGGTTTTTGTTAATCACTTTAACATTAGATATTAAGTGGTAAATATTAATATTTTGAACTGTGTATGGATGCTCCTCAACTTATGAGGGAGTTACATACTGATAAACCCATCATAAGTTCAATTTATTATATGGTGAAAATGCATTTAATATCCTTGACCTATCAAATATCATAACTTAGCCTACCCTACCTTAAATGTTGAGAACACTGGACATTAGACTGCAGTTGGGCAAAATCATCTAACACAAAGCCTATTTTATAAGGAAATGTTGAATATCACATAAAATTTATTGAATACTGTACTAAAATTGAAAAACAGAATGATTATATGTATATATGAAATTCAGTTTCTGTTGGTTTTTTATTCTGTTGGTTTATTTATTCAGGTTCTCTTATAATCTCATAAACAAGTACTTTGCATTTTCCATTAAAAATGTTAAATAGTATTATAATATTTTATATCTTGATTTTATAGGCTATTTAGCAGGAACAGAGTTGCATTGAGAAGATAGTATTGGGAAAGCCATGCTTTTTGTTATTGTACTTGGTGCCATATGAAAAGAAATATAATGCTCTTCTGAGAGGAATTTAAATTTTATTCCTTACCTCTATTAAGAAAATATATGAAATAAGTTTGGGAATTGTTTGGGGGGGGTCTCCTGGTATAGATGTATTAGGGCCAGGCATGATGGCTTGTTCCTGTATTCCCTCAGTGCTTTGGGAGGCTGAGATGGGAGGATTGCTTGTGGCCAGGAGTTTGAGACCAGCCTGGGCAATATGGCCAAACTCTGTCTCTATTAAATACAGGATTAAAAATTAGCTGGGCATGGTGATATGCCCCTGTAGTCCTAGCTACTTAGGAGTCTGAGGCAGGAGGATCACTTGAGCCCAGGAGTTTAATGTTATATTAAGCTACGAGTGCGCCACTACACTCAAGCCTGAGTAACAGTGAGATTCTGTCTCTCTTTCCCTCTTTCTTCCTTTTTATATATAAAAAGAATCATTTTTAGAGTCTAGAACGAAGTTGTCTATGCAAGGCGAACTAAAGGCACTGTCTATAAATAAAAAATTGTAATTTTTAACTAGACTTATAAAGTTATATTTTAATACTTATTACATTTTTGTGATTGGAAATTACAAAAGACTGAACTAAATATTGTATCATACATTGTGAAGAATTCTATTTTTAAATATGCTAATTGAAACTTTATTTTTCAGATTTTGGAATCTCTTTTTAAGGTACGTTTAATATAATACAGCTTAAACCTACTAAAAGTGAACACAGAAATATATGCCAATGAGGTTTCTAAATTTTAAGGGAGTAGAAGGAATTTCATACTTGCTTCTCTGTATATTTAAGAATTTTATGTTTATTTATATAGTGATTAGCCTCATTCTGAATCCCAAGTAATATTTGGGTCAGGGCTTATATTTGATAGATGAAGATTCACAGACACAGACACAGACACACATTTACATACATATTTATTTCATTGTTGCAATTTAAATTGTCACTAACTATTTCCTTTTTTTGTCCCTCTTTTGTTTTCTTAAAGTGGTTTCAGTTGCAGGTCAATCAGATGGAAGAAGTAAGTCTAATGTTTTAAAATTGTTAATTAAATTAATATTTTAAACTCATTTGAAAACCAATTTAGATTATATATATGTATAAGTCATTTTTGAATAACTATTGGTTATAAAGTAATCTTTTCATTTGTGTAGACAAGGAATAAGAGGACGGGATAAAATATTTCTGGTATACTCCAAGTTTGACGTATTCATTTTCCTAAAATTAAACAATGGAAACTAAGTTATTATTTTTTCCAATTTACATAAGAGTGATAAGAGAATCTTTCACTTAAAAATTTATACCATATTTAAAAAATCATTCTAAATGATTTATGTGTAGACATAAAATTATGTATCGATTTTCTATACATGAAATATGTTATTTTAATGATGTTCTTTTATACTTTTGATTTTCAGGTACATTGCCATTAGTTTGAGAACTACTGGTCTCTGTCCTTAGGGATTATTAATTCTACTTTGGAAAATACTTTATATATGCTATTAGTATAGTAGAATTATTTCCAAGGTAGCTTTACTGATTTACAGAGTTATTTTAGTTCTCATTTGGTCACACTTATGGTTTAGTCCAATTAAACACTCTTGAAGCCCAGGTTCTTCAAAGAAAAGAGGCCAGTTTATTTGGGGGCATAAAATGAAAGGATAAATATAGATAGAAGCTTAAATGCATGAACTGTAACTATATCCTAGCATCTTCTCATTATTTTGTCTCTGATCCCAGAATACAAGACTTTCATGGTCTATATGCTCTTTGCTTTAGGATACATTTGACTGACATTGGAAAAGTGTTAGTCATTCTTTGAGTATGGTGAAGTGGTCATTATCCTTCCAGAGAAGTAGAGTTAGAGTGAAGTCTACCATTCCTCTACCCTCTTTTAAAATGTATTCTTCTTTGCAACTTTGGAAATTCATTTAGTCATCATCTTTTCATCCATCAACCTCTTTTTATAGTTTTATTTATGTATTTTTATTATTTTACTTTTTGAGATGGAGTTTTGTTCTTTTTGCCCAGACCGGAATGCGATGGCATGATCTCAGCTCACTGCAATCTCTACCTCCCAGGTTCAAGTGATTCTCCTGCCTCAGCCTCTGGAGTAGCTGGGACCACAGGCACATGGCACCATGCCTGCTTAATTTTTTTTTGTATTTTTAGTAGAGATGGGGTTTCACTATGTTAGCCAGGATGGTCTTGAACTCCTGTCCACCTCAGCCTCCCAAAGTGCTGGGACTACAATTCATCTTGTCATCTTCTTTTCATCCATCAACCTCTTTTTATTGTTTTATTAATGGGTTTACTTTTACTCTTCTTTTTATACTCATTCCTGTCAATGTACATGACCTACCCAAACCCTGGCCTCTCAGTTTCTTGACTTCCTCATCTGCAAAGATCTCTTGGCCTCCCTCCACTTCCAGTCACACTCTGGACCTTGTCATTAACCAAATTACTTTATTTTAAAAATCACTAATTTAGGCAACTTATTCTTGAACTTTAAATTTCTGTTTTTCTAACTATTACTTCAAATACTGCTCTGGCCACTCTTTGTCTTCACCAAGACCTCCAGTTCATTTATTCCTCTACCATCTTGCAGTCTTTTTATTTAATCTTTCTCTTTATCTTAGAGACTGCAATTTATCACAAGTGAATTTCTTAACTTCCTAATCTTCCTTACATCTTTCTCTTTTAATTGCACTTCTCTAACAAAACTTAACCCCAGGCCTATATCTTAGCTATGAAACACTGCTGGAGAAAATGACATAATAGATCAGACATAAGTACTCCAAATACTGCTTGGCAATTCGATTACACTTCTGAAATGAATTTCAACCCTTCCCTGCTACCATCTCAAACCTACTTCCTCTGTCCCATTTCATCTTCACTCTCAACCAAATACTTGGAATGCTATAAATACAAGCCATTGGTTGGAACTCCTGGACTCAAGCAATCCCCTCACCTCTGCCTCCCAAAGTGCTGGGATGATAGCCATGAGCCACTGTGCCCCGCCATGCCTTCTCAAAAACTTTGATTAATCAGTTATTCTCTCTTGTATTATTCAATTTCTCTCATTCAGTTGTATCCTTTCTTTCAGTTTTTAAATATGCTCTTCTAGCTCTCATTTGATCCACATTCCTCTCTAAAGGTCTATTTCCATGCCCTTCATTAGCCTGTTTAAAAAAAAATATTTTATATGCAAATTTACTCATATTAGGGAAACAGTCATTAGATGATGATCAGGGTGTAAAGGCAAAACAGATTTATAAGTGAGCAGAGGAAAAAAACAGAGTAGACAGTCTTTGAACAATGAAACTAGTTGGCTCTTTTTTTTTTTTTTTTTAAGTATTCTATAAATAAACTGGCACCTAGTGAAGAGATTCATCTGGGCACTCTTTCCTTAAGAGACAACTAAGGATATTAAGTAAAACAGAGTTGTTCATGAATTTCCTATAAAAACACTGAAGAGTTAAGCTATGGAGCATGTGTCACACTTTCAGAGCCACATTTATTTGTATATAAATTTACTATACACTGTGTTCTTACTTCCCAAGCATTTTTCAGCCTATCCAGACTGAATTCTGTCTCCCTAACAAGTAAAACATTCTCTCCATATGGTTCCCAGTAAGTTGTATGTTGTTAAATTCAACAGACTGTTTTTTTTTGCTTCAGCTATAGTTAATATTATTGATCATGGCCTCATTTTTGAAACATTATTCCTTTGACTTCTGTGAATTACATTTTCCTGGCTATCATTTAACCTCTTTGTCTGTCTCCTTTTTAGAGTCCCCTCCTTAACCCAAGCAGTAAATGTTGGAGTACCTCAAAGTTTTATCCTATGTCTTTTTCTTTTTCCTCCAAACTTTCTCCCTAGGCAGTCTCATGCAGTTTTCCCATTCAAGTATTACCTTTATGCATGTAATTCAGAAACATATACCTCTTGTTCAGAATATTTCTCTGAACTCCAGGCTTTATATATAATTACTTACTAAACTATTCCACCTCAGATGCAATGGGTCAGAAATACGAATTTTTTTACTCCTAAACTCATCTCTTCTAGTGTTCCCTATCTTAGTGAATGAGTACTATTTACCAAATTAGGTAAACATGAAATGTGGAAACCATTCCTGACAACTCATTTCCATCTATTCCTGATATTTAATTCATCCACAAATCCTCAGATGTGTCCACTTTTCTCTGTGACTACACCTTATTGTTGGTTATTTTCATATCCATTAGGCCTGAAATCCCAACCAGTGCATTCATAATCACCAGGAGGAATCTTCACTACACAATTATACTTCTGATCTGGAATTTCAAATTTTTCAATGTTTTACCCATAATTACTTCTTTCAAATATTTTGTTAATTTGATATTCCAGATACATTTTCTAAAGGTTTTTATTATCTACTGTCTTTGAAGGAGGGTTTCTCTTTTTTCGTAAACTTTCATTTTAAGTTCAGGAATACATGTGCAGGTTTGTTATTTAGGTAAACTCATGGTACAGGTATTTGTTGTACAGATTCTTTCATCACCCACATATTAAGCCCAGTACCTAATAGTTACCTTTTCTGCTCATCTCCTTCCTCCCAACCTCTACCCTCAAGTAGATCCCTTCTTTCATTCTATCATTCCCTTCTTTGTGTTCATGAGTTCTCATCATTTAGCTCCCACTTATAAGTGACAGCATATGGTATTTGATTTTATGTTCCTGTGCTAGCTTGATAAGGATAATGGCCTCCAGCTCCATCCATGTTCCTGCAAAAGACATGATCTCATTCTTTTATATGGCTGCATAGTATTCTATTGTATGTATGTACCACAGTTTCTTTATCCAGTCAACCACTGATGGGAAGTTAGGTCGATTCTATGTCTTTGCTATTCTGAATAGTGTTGCAGTGAACATACACATGCATGTGTCTTTGTGATAGGATGATTTATTTTCCCTTGGGTATATACCCAGTAATGGAATTGCCGGGTCAAATGGTAGTTTTGTTTTTAGGTATTTGAGGAAGCACCCAACTGTTTTCCACAACAGTTGAACCAATTTATACTCCTACCAACAGTGTATGCATTTTTTTTCTCCACAACCTTGCCAGCACCTGTTATTTTTTTACTTTTTAACAATAACCATTCTGATGTGAGATGGTATCTCATTGTGGTTTGATTTACATTACTCTGATGATCAGTGATGTTGAAGTTTTTTTCATATGATTGTTGGCCACATGTATGTCTTCTTTTGAAAAGTGTCTCTTCATGTCCTTTGTCCACTTTTTAATGGTGTCGTTTGTGTCTTGTAAATTTGCTTAAGTTTCTTAGAGATGCTGGATATTAGGACTTTGTCAGATGAATAGTTTGCAAATGTTTTCTCCCAGTCTCTAGGTTGCCTATTTGTTCTGCTGATAGTTCCTTTGTTTCACAGAAGCTCTTAATAATTAGATCCTATTTGTTAATTTTTGCCTTTGTTGCAATTGCTTTTGGCATCTTCATGGAGTCTTTGTTCATTCCTGTGTCCAGAATGATATCACCCAGGTTGTTTTCCAGAATTTTTAGTTTTGGGTTTTACATTTAAGGCTTTTATTCATCTTGAGTTAATTTTTACATATGGTTGTAAGGAATGAGTCCAGTTTAAATCTGCATTTGGTTAACTGGTTATCCTAGCCTCATTTATTGAACAGGGAGTCCTTTGTTCATTGCTTTCTTTTGTCAGATTTGTTGAAGATCAGATAGTTGTATGTATGCAGCCTTATTTCTGGCTTCTCTATTCTGTTCCCTTGCTCTATGTGTCTGTTTTTGTGCCAGTACCACTGTTGTTTTGGTTACTGTAGCCCTGTGGTATAGTTTGAAGTCAGGTAGTGTGATGCCCCCAGATTTATTCTTTTTGTTTTGGATTGCCTTGGCTCTTTGGGCTCTTTTTAGTTCCATATGAATTTTAAAATGTATATATTTTTTCTAGTTCTGTAAAGAATGTCATTGGTAGTTTGATAGAAATATCACTGGATCTATAAATTGCTTTGGGCAGTATGGCCATTTTAACGTTATTGCTTCTTTCTATCCATGCACATGGAATGTTTTTTTATTTGTTTGTGCCATTTCTGATTTCTTTGAGCAGTGTTTTGTAGTTCTCCTTGTAGAGATAGTTTACCTCCCTGGTTAGCTGTATTTCTAGGTATTCTTTTTGTGGCAGTTGTGAATGGAATTGCTTTCCGGATTTGGCTCTTGGCTTGACTGTTGTTGAGGTATAGGAATGCTAGTGATTTTCCTACATTAACTTTGTATCTTGAGACTTTGCTGAGACAGTTTATCAGCTGAGGGAGATTTTGAGCCAAGACTTTGGGGTTTTCTAGATACAGGATCATGTTGTCTATAAATGGAGATAGTTTGACTACCACTCTTCCTATTTGGATGCCCTTTATTTCTTTCTCTTGTCTGATTGCTCTGACCAGGGCTTCCAATTCTATGTTGAATAGGAGTGGTGGGAAAGTGTACCTCAAGAAATGTATCTTAAAGTGTAGTTGATAAAACATGTTTAATTGTCACCCAGGATACCTGTTATAAGTGCACATTATTGAATTAGATTTCTTTTGTGAGTCTGTGAGTTAGGAATCTACTGTTTCAACAGGCAAGAAACAAGGGATTCTTATGCATACTGACATTTGAGATTCTTGTGATAATCTTTTTACTGATGACAGAATTTATTGTCAGTACATGCTATTGAAGTTAATGCTAGTGATCATGTTGCATTGCATATTGTATTAACAGAGATACATGTGGAAATCATTAGAGTATATGCTGAGCTGCACCAGAGAAATGTAGGCTGAGCCTGTAGCCTGTACTCTTCAGAGTTGTCCTGCTGGAATCTGTGCCCCATAGGTCTTTCTGATGAAATTGTTTAGCTGATAACCCACTGTCTATTCCATACTCTTTTAGTTCTGTGCCTTCATCTTTTTACCTAGAAAAGTCTTCTGTTAAAATTTAATCTCTATTGGGAATGTAATATGTCAAGAGTCTAATCAAGAGACAAAAAAAAATGGATTGAAAGTTTAATATAAAGAATTATTATAACAGAGGAATATCTACTAAAGGATATTGATAGATGTTCTACTAAAGGAGTAAAGATAATTCTAACGAATACAGGAGGAGTGGAAGATACAGGGAACAGCTTCAACTCCTAGGATAGACTCAGAATGTGAATATCCCCAATCCTTCTCTCCCAGCAATCCAGGGATAAGATGCAGAACTTCTGAAGAGGGAGCAGCTTTCATCACTACATAGCAGAGAAATTTGCTGGGCTGCGAAGCTGGTGGAACTTGAACTCTAATAGGAAGCTGTCCATGAGGGTGGTACACTTAGGAATCTGCCCTCTCTGATGCTAGGAAAAGCCACCATCCAGAGAGGTGCTGTACTTCCTTCTGGGAAACTGTTCACAAGGGTGGTATGTTGGAAAACTTCTCTAAGGGAGGCTCTGTACTGGTGGATTTTGTTAGGAAGTTCTGGGAGAAGCTGCCCATAGGAATCTGCGATGCCAGGGACCTTACCAGGAAGTCATCCATGAGGATGATGGTGTTGAAATTTTCTATGGGTGAGTACTATAAAATACACACTGCCTAAGGAATAAGCAGAAAGAGACACAGAACTAGGAAGAAAAGCCTCTTGCTCTTCCATTGCCTCTCCAGGAAAGGTTAACATCAGGCCACTTGTCAAGGAAGAAATATTCTACTATCACAGATAAGACATTAAAGAATAGATTTTTGAGATGAGACTCAGTAAATTGATGACATCATTTTTGATTCAATTTATGATTTGTGGCTCCTTATTTGGGATCTTTCATTTGTCTATAGAGTTTCCATTGATCTTCTGCTTTGCTCCTACCAATTCTGTGTTCCTTTTCATATCTTCTCTACACTGAAGTTCATACTAGTACTTCATTGCCCAGCATTTACTTCCTGTTGTTATATCCTAATCTCATTCCAGTCATTACAAAAATGAAGTCTGTTCTTAATCCCCAATGCTAGAATTTATCTTTGCTGAGTCCTAGACTTCATCTTCTCCTCAGCTTTTCCTCCTATCATAAGGATTGGAGGTGACTACATGGGCCGATCTCTGAATTTAGGGGAAGCAATTATTTTAGCATTACTCTTGTAAATATTCTCTGCCATTTTTCTCTCAAAATTTTCTAGATATAGGATCACTTTCTAGATATAGGATCATAACCCAATTGCTATTCTGCTTGTTTATGTCTCCACATACTGGCTGTTTGTAGGTTTCTTTTGCTGTGGTTTTTGGATAGTCATTCTTGCTGAATTTCTTTAAATAAACTTACTACCTAGAATAGTAATTATGGTCATCTTATTCTGTGAATTTTACTGTTTCTTCCCACTGTCTGTTAGTTTTTAGATTGGTCTATTCCAGAGGTCTCAAGGACACCCAAATAAATCTCAGTCTTCCCCACGCAAAGTGAAGGAATGCTAGCTCCATAGACCTTTGTATGTTAACTTCTGGGAGTTATTATAGACAGTATTAGTCTTTGAGAGAAAATTATTGTCTTTAGATAATTTACCACAGTAAGGGTAATTCTTAGAAAGAATTTATGGGAAACAATTTAGAATTACTCTTGTAAATATTGTGAGTTGCATGTATTGTTATTGGACTTGCTTAAAATTCCTAAATATTAAAACAATAAACAGATGATTTGATTTCAGGTTTTACATGTAAAAGCCATCACCGAACTATAAATATATTCATAGATAATTGCTCATATAAATATATTTGTAAAATATTATCTCATTACTTAGCTATAGCTATAGAGTAATATAAAAATTACTTTGATTTGATAAAGGAAAAATGAAATTTATTTGAAGTATTGGAGCAAAATGAGTATTTACTAAGTAACTGGTTAATTTTATTATTTTAGATAAGTAAAGATCAAACTCTTTTACAAGCAGAGCCTCCAGACCCTGACGAAGCAGTCACGTTAAATCTTGCACAAGTAGTAAGGCTTGCACAAAGATTTGAAGAACTGAAGAATCGCCTTAAACAGAGGTCTAAAAACTCCTTGAAAGTCATATTGTCTAAAACCATGTAAGTGAAATATAAGAACTAATTGAATTAAAAACAATAAGAAGGGGTATATAATTAGCACTGAATTTAAGATAATGAGCCATCATGTATGATGGCTACACATAAAGCTTCCTAGTCAAATCAGGTCTAGTCAGCTTGTTTCTATTTGCAATTTTTAATAATCTGATATATATAATACAGGAGACATTATCTGCATGTGGCTATGCAAATTCAATGTAGAAAATCGGTTTCTTAGTCACACTAGCCACATTTAAAGTGTTTAGTACCCATATTTGGCTTTTATTAGAAAGTTATATTGGACATGGCTAGCTTTGAAATATCTGGCATATAAACTCTTCTTTCAGTTTGATTTTACTCCTAGTAGTAAATAGAAAACTGAGATCTAATGAAATATTTCATTGTTCATGAAAACTTTCATTCAAATTATATTAACAGCTCATCCAAGTTAAATTTTTACATTTATAAGCAACCATGTTTTTGCATTAAGCATACACAAAATTCTTTTTTAGTGTTGAAATAGAAAACATGTACCCATATTTGGGAGGGGCCCCTAGTTATGCAGTTACTTTAGTGATAAATTACTAAATAACTTAAAATAATGAAGAGAGTGGTACCTGAGTTGGTTCCTGGGGGTTATATATCTAGATCCTTGGTTCAGAGGTTAAGGTTTAGACCATATTAATACTTGACATTTAAGTGTCTGCTGTGTACTAGGGATTTTTGTAATAACTTTACATGTATAATCTTCTTTGATTGCCATAACTACTTCACAAGAAAGTTACTATTATACCCCAATTTTAATGAGAATAAACTGAAGCCCATAGTGGTTAAGTAATGTACCTGGCTGAGGTCATATAATTAGTAAATGGATGAAGCAGGTTTTGGGTCTGCTAGTCTCACTCCAGAACTTATGTCCTTCATCATTATATGATCGATAATAATACATTGACAAAAAGCAATTTATGTTTCTAACAGTTTTTGCTATTTTTGTTGTTAATGTTGTTTGTATACCTAATTATATTCATGGAATATATAGAAGTCATAATTACATAGTTTAGTTTGACTTTTATACTTTTTAACTTATAACTTGTTAATTTACCTTCATGTCTATAAAGATTAAAGATATGTTTAGTTTTTACTTTACAAACTTTATATGTCTAGACTGCACATTTTAGTTCTTTAGTATAATTTAAACTCTTACTCTTTAATATATTAAAAATGTTTTATTTATTGAACTTTAACAGGAATAAAGAAAATCTACCAGAAGCAGTGAAGAGTTGGGAAGATGTAGCACAGAAAATGGAAGGTGATAATATTTGATACGTTTGTCCTTAAAAATTTTATTAAAAAAGTTGGTATTATTTTTTATTTTTTAAAGAGAGGGTCTTACTCTGTCACCCATGCTGGAGTGTAGTGGCATGATTATCACTTACTGCAACCTCAAACTCTTATTTAATAGTGAGTTTGATACTTTAATAAAAGTTCTTATTATGTTCCAGATTCTGGGAACATACAAAATGAAAACAACATGTATCCCTTTTACAGACAACAACTTGGTTGTTACTCCCATAAAATTTACAGCTTAATAAGGTTGCAAATACATTATCTAGCATGTCAGTACAGTGTCATGCATGATAAGGATATGTAGAATTTGCACTGGGTCCAAGAAAGGAGCAATCTGTTCAACCTAAGGGAGTTAGAAAGCTAAAGGATGAATAGGATTTAGTCAAGTAAATAAGGGAAATATTTGGTATTTTAAGAAGACAATAGCATGAACAAACAACATGAATATCGAATTACAACTGGATTGGTATCAGAGTAAGAAGCGGGATAAGGGATAAGGTATAAGAGGGCCTAATCATAGTGGGAATGGATGTTCTGCTAAGGGGCTTAGACTTTTTTCAAATATAATAAAGAATAATTGAAGATTTTTGTAGAATTTAGTTTTAGAGAGTTTTTTTTCCTGGACAAACTGTAGAAGCTAAATTTGGGGACTAGGAGTAAGAAATGGAAGTTATTATATCTTAGATGGGTGACAAGCAGCTATGTTCGAGGACTAGTGAAGAGACGAAGGGAGTCAGGTTTGAGAAATATTTACTTGATAGAATTGGCAAAAGTTGGTGATTGGGTATGGAAGGAAGGAAGACTAGATAATGATGGTTCCATCAATGAATATAAGAGACTTCAAGAGGAAAAACAAATTTTGATGAGAAAGTGATGTTTATAATCAGCTGTTACACACGTTCTTTTAAATATTATTATTTGTTGACTGATTGGAAAGATCTACAGTGTTGGCAGCTATTATTTTTTAATAGTTTTCTTTCTTTTGATGAGTTACTAAAATGAAAACTCAATTAGTGCATGTGATTACTGTTTGAAATTTATAGTGACAAATACATTTCTAATTATTTCAGAATTCATAAAAGCCCACACAACTGATGAATTTAAAGATGTTTCTGCAATGGAGCCACGTAAGTTTCCATTCATGAAAGCATTATTGTGGTAATAACCTCTGTTACATTAATTTCTATAAAGTAATAATTATTAGGTTAACAATATGTATTCCCTGTCTTGGAGCTGGGAGCCATACAGTTCATTTGGTTGTCAGGCAAGTATTGAAATTCCTAGTTAAGGATACATTTTACCGAAATTAGATTTTTTTTTAAATTATGCTTTAAGTTCTGGGGTACATGTGCAGATTGTGCAGGATTGTTACATAGGTATACACATGCCATGGTAGTTTGCTGCATCCATCCCCCCATCACCTACATTAGGTATTTTTCCTAATGTTATCTGTACCCAATTCCCCGACCCCCTGCTATCCTTCCTTCAATCCCCCACCACCAGAATGCCCTGGTGTGTGATGTTCCCCTCCCTGTGTCCATGTGTTCTCATTGTTCAACACCCACCTATGAGTGAGAACATGGTGTTTGATTTTCTGTTCTTGTGTCAGTTTGCTGATAATGATGGTTTCCAGGTTCATCCATGTCCCTACAAAGGACACGAACTCATCAGTTTTTATGGCTGCATAGTATTCCATGGTGTATATGTGCCACATTTTCCTTGTCTAGTCTATTGTTGATGGACATTTGGGTTGGTTCCAGGTCTTTGCTATTGTAAACAGTGCTGCTGTGAACATACATGTGCATGTATCTTTATAGTAGAATGATTTATAATCCTTTGGATATATACCCAGTAATGGCATTGCTCGGTCAAATGGAATTTCTATTTCTAGGTCCTTGAGGAAGTCCCACACTGTCTTCCACAATAGTGGAACTAGTTTACACTCCCACCAACAGTGTAAAAGTGTTCCTATTTCTCCACATCCTCTCCAGCTTCTGTTGTCTCCACATTTTTTAATAATCGCTATTCTAACTGGCCGAAGTGGTATCTTAATGTGGTTTTGACTTGCATTTCTCTAATAATGATGATGAGCATTTTTTTCATATGTTTGTTGGCTTCATATGTGTCTGTTTTTGAAAAGTGTCTGTTCATCTCCTTCAACCACTTTTGAATTGGTTTTTTTTTTTTCCTGTAAACTTGTTTTAGTTCTTTGTAGATTCTGGACATTAGCCGTTTGTTAGATGGGTGGATTGCAAAAGGTTTTTCGCATTCTGTTGGTTGCCAGTTCACTCTAATGATTGTTTCTTTGGCTGTACAGAATCTCTGGATTTTCATTAGGTCCCATTTGTCTATTTTGGCTTTGGTGGCCAGTGCTTTTGGTGTTTTAGTCATGAAGTCCTTGACTATGCCTATGTCCTGAATGGTTTTCCCTAGGTTTTATTCTAGGGTTTTTATGATGTTAGGTCTTATGTTTAAGTCTTTAATCCATCTGGAGTTAATTTTAGTGTAAGGTGTCAGGAAGGGGTCCAGTTTCTGCTTTCTGCACACTGCTAGACAGTTTTTTCAACACCATTTATTAAACAGGGAATCCTTTTCCCATTGCTTGTTTTTGTCAGGTTTGTCAAAGATCAGATGGTTGTAGATGTGTGGCATTGCCTCCAAGGCCCCTGTTCTGTTCCATTGGTCTATATCTCTTGTTTTGGTACCAGTACCATGCTGTTTTGATTACTGTAGCCTTGTCATATAGTTTGAAATCACGTAGCATGATGCCTCTGTCTTTGTTCTTTTTGTTAGGATTGTCTTGGCTATGCAGGCTCCCTTTTGGTTCCATATGAATTTTAAGGTGTTTTTTTTCCAGTTCTGTGAAGAAGGTCATTGGTAGCTTGATGGGGATTGTGTTTAATCTATAAATTACTTTGGGCAGTGTGGCCATTTTCACAATATTAATTCTTTCTAACCATGAGCATGGAAGGTTTCTCCATCTGTTTGTGTCCTCTCTTATTTCCTTGAGCAGTGGTTTGTGGTTCTCCTTGAAGAGGTCCTTTATATCCTTTGTTAGTTTTATTCCTAGGTATTTTATTCTCTTTGTAGCAATTGTGAATGGGAGTTCACTCATGATTTGGCTCTCTGTTAGTCTGTTATCGGTGTATAGAAATGTTTGTGATTTCTGCACATTGATTTTGTATCCTAGACTTTGCTGAAGTTCTTTATCAGTTTAAGGAGATGTTGGCTGAGATGATAGGGTCTTCTAAATATGTCATCTGCAAATACAGACAATTTGACTTCCTCCTTTCCTATTTGAATACCCTTAATTTATTTTTCTTGCCTGATTGCTCTGGCTAGAACTTCCAATACTATAGTGAATAGGAGTGGTGAGGAGAGAGGGCATCCTTGTCTAGTGCTGGATTTCAAAGGGAATGCTTCTCGTTTTTGCTCGTTCAGTATGATATTGGCTGTAGGTTTGTCATAAATGGCTTTTATTATTTTGAGATATGTTCCATCGATACAGAGTTTATTGAGGGTTTTAGAATAAAGGGCTGTTGAATTTTGTCAAAGGCCTTCTCTGCGTCAATTGATATAGTCATGTGGTTTTTGTTTTTGGTTCTGTTTATGTGGTGAATTACGTTTATAGACTTGTGTATGTTGAAGCAGCCTTGCATCCCCGGGATGAATCCTACTTCATCATGATGGATAAGTTTTTTGATGTGCTGTTGCAATCAGCTTGCCAGTATTTTATTGAAGATTTTTGCATTGATATTCATCATAGATATTGGCCTGAAGTTTTGTTTTCTTGTTGAGTCTCTGTCAGGTTTTGGTATCAGGATGATGTTGGTCTCATAAAATGATTTGGGAAGGATTTCCTCTTTTTGGATTATTTGGAATAGTTTCAGAAGGAATGGTACCAGCTCCTCTTTGTGTGTCTGGTGGAATTTGGCTGTGAACCCATCTGGACCTGGGCTTTTTTTGTGTGGTAGGCTTTTAATTTCTGCCTCAACTTCAGATCTTGTTATTGGTCTATTCATGGTTTCGACTTAGTCCTGGTTTATGCTTGGGAGGACACAGGTATCCAGGAATTTATCTATTTCTTCCAGGTTTACTAGTTTATGTGCATAGAGTTGTTTGTAATGTTCTCTGATGATGGTTTGAATTTCTGTGGAATCTGTAGTGATTTCCCCTTTATTGTTTTTTATTGCATCTATTTGATTATTCTCTCTTTTCTTTTTTCTCAGTCTGGCTAGTGGTCTGTGTATTTTGTTGATCTTTTCAAAAAACCATGTCTTGGATTTATTGATTTTTTGAAGGGTTTTTTGTGTCTCTATCTCCTTCAGTTCTGCTCTGATCTTAGTTATTTCTTGTCTTCTGCTAGGTTTTGAGTTTTTTTGATCTTGCTCCTCTAAGTCTTTCAATTTTGATGATAGGGTGTCAATTTTTGATCTCTCCACTCTTCTTATATGGGCACTTATTGCTATATATTTTCCTCTAGAGACTGCTTTAAATGTTTCCCAGAGATTCTGACATGTTGTGTCTTCATTCTTGTTGGCTTTGAAGAACTATATTTCTGTCTTCATTTCATTGTTTATCCAGTCAACATTCAAGAGCTAGTTGTTCAGTTTCCATGAAGCTGTGCAGTTCTGAGTTAGTTTCTGAATTCTGAGTTCTAACTTGATTGTACTATGGTCTGAGAGACTGTTTGTTATGATTTTCATTGTTTTGCATTTGCCGAGGGGTGCTTTATTTCTAATTATGGGGTCAATTTTAGAGTAGGTGTGATGTGGTGCTGAGAAGAATGTATATTCGGTGGATTTGGGGTGGAGAGTTCTGTAAATGTCTATCAGGTTTGCTTGTTCTAGGTCTGAGTTCAAGCCCTGCATATCCTTGTGAATTTTCTGTCTGGTTGATCTGTCTAATATTGACAGTGGAGTGTTAAAGTCTCCCACTATTATTGTGTGCGAGTCTAAGTCTCTTTGTAAGTCATTAAGAACTTGCCTTATGTATCTGGGTGCTCCTGTATTGGGTCCATATATATTTAGGATCGTTAGCTCTTCTTGTTGTATCGATCCTTTTACCATTATGTAATGGCCTTCTTTGTCTCTTTTGATCTTTGTTGCTTTAAAGTCTATTTTATCAGAGATGAGAATTGCAACTCCTGCTTCTTTTTGCTCTCCATTTGCTTGGTAAATCTTCCTCCATCCTTTTATTTTGAGCCTTTGTGTATCCTTGCATGTGAGATGGGTTTCCTGGATACAGCACACTGATGGAATTTGACTTTTTATCCAATTTGCCAGTCTGTGTCTTTTGATTGGTGCATTTAGCCCATTTACATTTAGGGTTAATATTGTTATGTGTGAATTTGATACTGCCATTTTGATGCTAGCTGGCTGTTTTGCCCATTAGTTGATGCAGATTCTTCATTTTGTTGATGCTCTTTAGCATTTGTTATGTTTTTGGAATGGCTGGTACTGGTTCTTCATTTCTATGTGTAGTGCCTCTTTCAGGAGCTCTTGTAAAGCAAGATTTTGTGGTGACAAAATCTCTGAGTACTTGCTTGTTCATGAAGGATTTGATTTTTCTTCCACTTATGAAGCTCAGTTTGGCTGGAAATGAAATTCTGGGTTGAAAGTTCTTTTCTTTAAGGATGTTGAATATTGACCGCTACTCTCTTCTGGCTTGTAGGGTTTCTGCCAAGAGATCTGCTGTGAGTCTGATGGCCTTCCCTTTGTGGGTGACCCAACATTTCTCTCTGGCTGCCCTTAGCCTTTTCTCCTTCATTTCAACACTGGTGTATCTGATGATTATGTGCCTTGGGGTTGCTCTTCTTGCAGAATATTTTTGTGGTGTTCTCTGTATTTCCTGGACTTGAATATTGGCCTGCCTTGCTAGGTTGGTGAAATTTTCCTGGATAATATCCTGAAGAGTATTTTCCAGCTTGGATTCATTCTCTTTGTCACATTCAGGTACAAACGTAGATTGTCACATTCTATCAAACGTAGATTAGGTCTCTTCACATAGTCCCACATTTCTTGGAGACTTTGTTCATTCGTTTTTGTGCTTTTTTCTCTAATCTTGCCTTCTCATTTTATTTCATTGAGTTGATCTTCGACTTCTGATATTCTTTCTTCTGCTTGGT